GAGCTGTGCCAATAAGGGGATATGAATGGTAAGCTTTCAGCGTGCACACTTGGGATACTGGATTAGAAGATTACATGACCGAGAACAGATAAACCTACACTCTTCTACTGATGGACTTTTGGCCTGTTTCCAGCTTCTTGCTATTGTGAACTGTGCTACATTGAACATAGGAGAACTTAAATTTGTTTGTGTTGTGTCATTAACTTCGTAGGGGTATATATACAGCAGAAATATTATTACTGGATCGAATGGAATTTTTATTCCCAGTTGTTTTAGGTAAACAATTCTAAACCACTAGCAACTCCATGGGAAAAAGACATGGCTTCCTACTCCTATAAGGAGTTGCAGTCTCTGAAACACGGGGCAGTTCTACCCTATCCTATAGGGTTGCTATGAGTTGTCATCGATTTAACAATGAGTTAGAGGATGTTTTTTTTTTTTTATTGTTGTTTTTTAACTCACCCTAGATAATGCCATATTGCTTTCCACTTGGGTACAAGACTGCCAGCAGATCTCTCTGTACCCTCTCTTGCTTTTGTTGTTTTCTTGAATTGGGCTATTCTTGTGGGCATAGGGTGATATCTCATCATTGTTTTGATTTACCTTTCCTGGATGATTAGTGATTGTAAGCGTTTTTTCAGATGTTAGACATTTGAATGTCATTTATTGTGGACTGTGTGTTCTTTACCCATATTAAATTAGATTATTTGTTTTTTCCTTAGTGAAATATTACGGAATTTTATAGATTTTAGAAATTAGTCCCTTACCCATATGTCATTGCTAAAGATATTTTCCAGGCTGGGGGCTCCCTTTTCACTCTTGTGATGAAGTCTTGATGTTTATGTGTCTTCTTATTGTAGGTCTCAGTCATCTACATTGTCTTCTGTGTATGTCTCCTTTATTATAATTCGCACCATGTGTACAACCTGCAATAGGGCCTGTACGTTTGTCTCTTTTCTCATTGATGCTCTTTATACCTCTGGGATTAACGTTTAAACTTCTGATCTATCTTGAGTGTGTTTTTTATGCGTGGGGTGAGTAATGGGGCCCTTTTCATTCTTCTGCAGATGGAAAGCTCATTTAATGTTGTTTTTTTTTCTTTTTTTTCATTTAATGTTTTTTGGCCCTTGTTGAAAATCAGTTGCCTGCAGGTGAAAGGGTTTACATCTGGGTTTTCTATTCTGTTCCCATAGTCTGTGTATATCATTTTACCAGTTCCATTCTGGTTTTTTGTTTTCTGCTTTAACTTTTATTTTTTATTATTTTAAGTTTGATTTATTCCCGAGCCATGAGTTTATGTTTCTTCAGTTCCTTCTGGGAAATATTTTTCTTTTTATTAGCAGCTTATTTTTTAAATCATTTTATTAGGGGCTCATACAACTCTTACATTCATTGCCCTCATCATTCTCAAAACATTTACTCTCCACATAAGCCCCTGGCATTAGGTCCTCATTTTTCGACCCTCTTGGTTTGCAGGATTTTGTAGGGTTTTCTGGGTCAAGTGAGTAGCGAACCATTTTGGCAGGTCACCTCAGGCCGCTACAGTTAGAGGGGTTTTTGGGTTTTTTTACCATTCTGTTTTGACTCTAATTCGTTTTGAGGTCAGGGAGTCCGAGGCCTCCTACTTTGTTTTTGTTAAGGAATTATTTGCTTATCCTAGGTTTTTTCCCTTTCCATGTGAAGTTGGTAATTAGTTTTTCCATTTTTTTAAAGAATGAAGTTGGAAATTGGATCAAATGCCATTGTATTTATTGATTGTTTGGGTGGTATTAACATTTTCATGATATTAAATCTTCCTACTCATGAACATGAGATATTTGTGTAAATCTCTTTTGGCTTTTAAAAAAATTTTTATTGGGGGTTCATACAGCTCTTATCACAATCCATATATACATCTATTGTATTAAGGACATTTGTACATATGTTGCCAGCATAATTTTCAAAACATTTTCTTTCTACTTGAGCTCTAGGTATAAGCTCATTTTCCCCACTATCCCACCCTCCCTCCGTCATGAACCCTTAATAATTTATAATATTTTTTCATGTCTTACACTGACCAATGTCTCCCTTCATCCACTTTTCTGTTGTCTGTCCCCCAGGGAGGGGCTTATATGTAGATCATTGTGATCGGTTCCCTCTTTCCCTCCCCACCTTCTCCTTCCCCTCCTGGTATTGCTACTCATTATTGGTCCTGAGGGGTTATCTGTCCTGGATTCCCTGTGTTTCCAGCTCTTATCTGTACCAGTGTACATGCTTTTGTAAGGTAGAATTGGGGTCATGATAGTGGGGGGAGGAAGCATTAAAGAACTTAGAGGAAAGTTGTATGTTTCATCAGTGCTGTACTACATCCTGACTGGCTTGTCTCTTCCTTGTGACCCTTATGTATGGGGATGCCCAATTTTCTGATACTCCTTTTGGTGTATGGTGTTTAGTTTTTCAATCACTTCCGTTGTTCTCAATAACATTCCCCACATCTTTTGAAGGCGTGTAAGCACCATTCTTTTGAAATATATTTCTGGTAATTCCAAGTCTTCATTTTTAGAGTATTCTCTTGAGTTTGGTTGATTTTTGGTTGTTTTTCTTACTTTTTTTTACACCACCCCCTTCTTCCTCCTGGTGGAGGGGGGGGGTAGGGAGCTGGGGGGTAGGGTTGCAGTTGACTGCTGTTTCCATAGTGTTGTGGTCTGGGTTTCTGGGTCATGTAAGAGTAGTTGACTCTGTCAGTTGGCACTGGACAGGGCTAATAGAAGCCAGAAATCATACAATGGGGAAATAGAGAAAAGGGGATAGAAATGAGTAAGTGGAGAAGATGTGGGGAATAAAAGAGAGTAAAAGTAATAATAATAGGCCATTGGAATCGATCCAAGAGGTTTGTAAAAATAATGGGAAACTATTGAGAGTAGAAGAATTAATAGGTATCATGTAAACCATTTTTCGTGAGGAAAAGGAGAGAATGAGCAGAAAGAGATAGTGTTTGAGGGAGTTGGAAGGTGTACATAACTAATCAGATCAGAAGCAAGGACTTATGTTATACATGTTTAGAAGATGTAGAATTGAAGATGAAAAAGAAGAGGAAGAAGAAAAATAAAGGAGTGGGATAAGGCAGTAGTGTAAAGAGGCAGCAAAGGGAAGAAAAAGCGTGGTGTGTATGAGGAATTCTCTTTCTATGGCAGCATTACTGTGGGCAGGTCTGCGCCATCATGTTGGCATCACCTTTTTTTTTTTTACTAATTGAAAGAAAAAGCACACATCTTGTTTGGGAAGTGGGCAGATGTGGCCTGTTTCTTACTTGGAGGAAAGTTTATCTGAAGAGGGTTAGGGTTGAATGGGAAGAGGATCTAAGAGGGAAAACAACAAAACACCAAAAACTCTGGTTTAGGTGGGGATTATCGATCTTTTGTGACAGTTTTTCAGAGCATATGCCTATTGCGTTGGAGGTAAGGGAGAGGGGAAGCAGGCCAAAAGTGGGAGGGGGGTGCTGGAGCAAGAACAAAAAAAGAAGCCAAAGAGGAGGAAGAAGGGGGTTAGCTGGGTGCACAAATCCCTCACTACCCATTGAGGATAGCTGCCCAAGTAGTCCGCTGACTACACAGGGCCCGCATCCAACATTTTTGTGTTGGATGGCCACTGTGTTTTATCCGTGTGTTTTTGCAGGGGTGGGGAGTACACTGAGAAGCTGCTCTGGACATTGGTCAATGGAGAAGGGGAGTCAGTAAGTGTTGCTGATCTCCAACTTCAAGAAAGTTTAGGGTATTTTTTTTAAAACTTGTTTTTCTGGCTTCCAGTGAGTGAAGGCTTTCCCTCTTGATGGGATTTCTTTGGTATTTGTTGAGGAGGTCATCCTGTGCTTCTTACCTGGCATCCATATTCTCCCATTTCTTTTTAGATTACTTCTTGAAACCTATTCCAGTAGACTGTTACCATCCTACCCATAGGAAACCTCTGTTAAAGCACTTAGCATGTGGTGTCTTAATTGGTAAGGAGCCTTGAGGGTTCAGTGGTTAAGTGATTGGCTATTAACTGCTAGCTGCTGACTGAAAGGTTGGTGGTTATACCAGCAACACCATCATTCTTCCATTGATGGGGATTTACATTGCTTTTACATTTTTGTTGTTGTGAACAGTGGTTTGTTGCCATGGAGGATGAGGAGTTAAAACGTTTGTTGGAAAATTGCATTATCTTTTTTTTTTTTTTGCATTATCTTTTAATTCCATTTTCCACCAACTTTTTGTAGGCGTCTTCTCTAGTTGTGTCATTGTTCTTATCAAAAATATTTTCAAGTTAGAAGTGAACATCTGAGTACTGTCATCAAAATGCAAATTTGAGCTAAAAGTTCACTATGTATGTTAGAGGGTTTTTTTTTTAATGTTAGAGATTTTATGCCTTTGTTTTTCAGACTTAGTCTTGTGTACCATTTTCACTATTTTTTCCTTGTCCATATATCAACTATATTTTGTTTAACTTTAAATTTTTCTTGAATTGACTCATAATTTAAAACTGTCCTTACTCATCATTATTAGTAATCTTTGAAATTATGGCTAGATTTTGCTAGTTACATTTTTCTGTATTAAATTGACAATGTAAACTATTAATTTGTTCAGGTATTTCTTAAATAATATAGATATGCTGTCAGTGTTAGGCTTTTGCTTTTCTTACTAAGTTTGTTTGTGGCAAGCTGTATACTTTGCTGTACTACACCAAGGGTAAATTAAGCTGTGTAGTTATTGAATTGTTATGTTGATTTTAAGATATCTTAATGTTTGTATTGTTAGCTGTAAAGTTGACAAGTAGTCTGAGAATTATCATATATATATTCATGTATAAGTCAAGTTTTTCAGCTTATTTTTAATGCAGTTTTTATGGTAAAATTGGGTGCCTCGGCTAATATTTGGGTCAGCTTATATTCGAGTGTATATGCTACTTAACCTCTGAATATTTGTCAGTGTTTCTTGTTTATGGTAACATTTTATTTATAAAAGTATTTTTGTTATTGCAGTGAGATGGAAGATTTTCAAGGTATAGCAGAGGAGTCATTTCCCAACTCTTTAACCAGTTCATTACTTGCTAATAGTGGAATTTTGGAAAATGTCACTCTTTCTTCAAATCTGGGCTTGCCTATTGCAGTTTCCACACTTGCTAGAAATACAGCCAACACTAATGACAGGTAAGATTTATTTGAGTGATCTATATATTTTTATAAAATTTAGCATGCATTGATACTTAAAGTTGTTTAGTCATGCTTGAGCTTTTTGTTTTATATATGAGGTAGATAACCAATTTTCTAAAATCAGTATGGAAAAGGTAAGACTCTTTCCCATCTAATTTTCTTTTTTAAAAATAAAATATAATTTATACGTTCTACTCTTGGTGAACGTTTATTTATTTTTATTAAAATTTTTTTTTTAGTTTTGTGTTACTATATTTATTTTTAAAAATTATTTTATTGGGGGCTTGTACAATTCTTATCACAGTCCATACATACATCCATTTTGTCAAACACATGTACATTTGTTGGCCTCATCATTCTCAAAACATTTGCCTTCTACTTTAGCCCTTAATATCAGTTGCTCATTTCCCCCCTCCCTCTCCACTCCCCCCTCCCTCATGGACCCTTCATAATTCATAAATTATTATAGTTTTGTCATAAGTTACACTGTCCGACGTCTCCCTCCACCCTCTTCCCTGCTGTCAATCCCCCAGGGAGGAGGCTATACTTAGATTCTTGTAATTGGTGTGTCCCCCCCCATCTAATTTTCTTATTGGGTATGTAGATGAGTTTGGCTTGAACATCCGGAACTTTTTTTTTTGTAGTTTTAATTTTCTTATTATTATTTAATCATTTTATTGGGGGCTCTTACAGATCTTATAACATTCCATACATCAGTTGTATCAAGCATCATTGTACATATGTTGTTATCATCATTTTTTTAAACATTTACTTTCTATTTGAGCACTTGGTATTAGCTCTCCTTTTTCCCCTCCCTTCTCCCCTCCCATCCTCGTGACCCCTTAATAATTTATAAATTAATATTGCTTTCATATCTTACATTGACCACTGTATCCCTTCACCCATGTTTCTATTGTTCATCCCCCTGGTGGGGGAGGGGATTATGCATCAGTCATTGTAATCGGTTCCCCCTTGCTCCCCTTCTCCATGTTTCCCCAGCCCTCTGTATTGCTACTTACATTTCTATTCCTGTGCTGTGAGCTCTTATCTGTACCAGTTTTGTGCTCTGATCTAGCCAGAATTGAAAGGAAGGACTGGAGTTATGATGTGGGGTGGGGTGGGGTGAGGAAGCCTCAAAAAACCAGAGGAATATTGTGTTTCATCTGTGCTATACTACTCCCTGGTTGACTTCTCCCTTCCTTGTGACTCTTCTGTGAGGGGATGTCCTATTGTTTGCATATGGGTTGGGGGGGGTCTCTGCTCTGACCCCCCCTTGTTCTCAACAATATTTTTTTTGGGTTTTGTTTTGTTTTGGGTCCTCTTGTGCCTGTTGCTTGATTCCATTGACCCACAGGCTGGTATGCTTTTTCTGTGTGGGCATGTTGCTTCTCTGCTAGATGACCGCTTGTTTACTTTTAAGACTCCATATGCTATATCTTCTGATAGCTGTGCACGACCCATTTTTTAAAAATAATTTTATTGGGGGCTTATACAACTCTTTTTAAAAATCATTTTATTATACAACTATCACAGTCCATCCATCCATCCATCCATTGTGTGAAGCACATTTGTACATTTGTTGCCATCATCATTCTCAAAACATTTGCTTTCTACTTGAGCCCTTGGTATCAGCTCCTCATTTTCCCTCCTCTCCCCACTCCCCCTCACAAACCCTTGATAATTTATAAATTATCATTATTTTGTCATGTCTTACAATGTCCGACATCTCCCTTCACCCACTTATCTGTTGTCCATCCCCCAGGGAGGGGGTTATATGTAGATCCTTGTCATCGGTTCCCCCTTTCTACCCCACCTTCCCTCCACCCTCCCTGCAGTGTCACTCTCACCACTGGTCCTGAGGGGTTCATCTATCCTGGATTCCCTGTGTTTCAGTTCCTATCTACCTGTGTATATCCTCTGGTCTAGCCAGATTTGTAAGGTAGAATTGTGATCATGATAGTGGGGGAAGGAAAAGCATTTAAGAACTAGAGGAAAGTTGTATGTTTTTTATCTTTGCTACACTGCACCATGACGGCTTGTCTCCTCCCCAAGACCCTTCTGTAAGGGGATGTCCAGTTGCCTACAGATGGACTTTGGAACTTATGCACCTATTTTGTCTTCAGTGATTGTGTTAGGAGGGTGAGCATCACAGAATGCAGTGTTGTTAGAACAAAGTGTTCTTGTGTTGAGGGAGTGGTTCAGCAGAGGCCCACATCCGCCCACTTCCTCAATGTATAGCCAAATGTACATGTACATAGATCAATACATCTATTTTTATGAATTAATATATTTAGATAAGTGCACACCTATGTTTATACCTCTACACATAGCTTCCTAGATCGTTACTCTGTTAATAGGAATCTTTTGATCCATTTTGCTTTTCTTTCTATAGTGTTTTTAACTTAACATTAATTCAGCCTTATTATAATTTTAATTAGTGAAATCCTAACGGAGAATTAAGGTATAGGAGTTTCTCGTGAATAAGTAGGAATGCCAAGCTGTGGCAAAAAGGGACAGGAGTCAGCATCTGGGGAATAGTCAGGTTTAGCTTTCCTCTCCACTTCCCTCTGTTGGTTTAATTTTCTCTTTAAGTACATTGGATTTTAATTTAATGTAAACATGGCAACATAACACTTCTAAAATATTATATTAGGTACAGATTGAGAGTAATGAATAGTCTAATTAAATTTTATGATTTATTATTATAGCTTATTTTTATAATGACTTTTCATTTGTTAGTTGTGAAAAATGGTGTGGAAACGGTGTTATATGGGAGATAGCTGGGGCTATCTGCTTCTGTAAAGATTTGAAGTCTCTGAAACTCACAGGGGGGTTCTACCCTGTCGTATAGGGTTGCTGAGTTGGAATCAACTCAATGACAGTGCGTTTGAGTTTTGACCCAGTTATTTCCTGGGAGTTACAAAGTCAATGGCTAGATGGTTCATATTAAGCAATCCACAGCATTGTAGGCCACCCTCTAGTTCTTCTCTTCTAGCCATTGGTCATTTCATAATTGAAGAATTAATTTCCCTTTCCAGTCATCATGATTGTAAAACCAAAACGCACTGTCATTGAGCCAGTTCTGACTCATAACTACCATATTGTCCAGGGTAGAACTGCTCTTATGAGTTTCCAAGATTGTAACTCTTTGTGGGAGTAGAAAGCTTTGTTTTCCTACAGAGGAGCTGGTAGTTTTGAACTACTTAACCTTTAGGTTAGCAGTCCAACATGTAACTACTACACTTCCAGGGGTCCCATTAATTGTAAAGTACACTCGTTAGCTTCCCCTGTTAAAACAGTACTTTGAAGAATCTTCTATTCCAATTGGAACCTTGAGCTTCTGTATAAGTGAAGTCCAGACCAGCTCATAATATCAAATATTTTTTTCTTCATTTAGTTGGGTTTTGGTCAGCTTATTCTTCGTTCAAGCTTTGTCAATGGGAATCATCCCTAAGTTCAAAAGTCCACACATGTCTTTGAACTTCAGACTAGCCCGCCTTTTACTTCTCTCATCACTGTATGAGATAAGTCAGTGGCATGGGATTATTTAATGGGCACCACTTGTAGGCTCAGGAAACCACTAGTTTCTTGCATTTTAGACCAGCTAGCCTTTTCTTTTTTTAATCCCTAATCTCCTGCGCTAGGTCAGTGGGTACAAACAGAATGTATTAGTCTAGATAGACTAGAGAAACAAATCCAGAGACATGCATATGTGTATAAGAGAGAACTTTATATCAAAAAGCAATTGTACATTAAGAAAACATCACAGACCAGTCCAGATCAAGTCATAAATCCAATATTAGTCCATATGTCCAATATCAATCCATTAATGTAACACATGCAATGACCCCAAATGCAGCTAGATCACAGGCCTGTGGGCAGAAAGTTTTGTGGGTGCAGATGTTACCATCTCAGCACTGGCATGGGGCTCCATGTGGCTCCTCCAGCTCTAGGGCTCTGGTTCCATCAGATGTGTCCATGTGGCTTGTCAGCAGGAAGATAAGCAGAGTGAGGATAGTGTATCTGGTCTCCAGTGAGCTATTTATCTCCACAGCGCCTCCAGATGAGGTCATCAAGAGGCAACCTGATTGACAGGCTAGACTCCACCCCTTCGTAAATTGACAGGACATTATGTAAGTGCCACAGAGAATATATCTTAACTGAAATCACCTTTTTGTTGCTGTACCTCCCTCACAGGTAGTCACTACAACCAAGCCTGTCTACTCACCAGCTCCCTTGAACTTCTTCTATACTAGGCTTTCTAATACCCTTTAACTTCCATTTCTTACAGCTTTTTTTTTCTTCCGATAGGTACTGGGGCTGACTTTGCATCCATCAACTGCTCAAAATAAAAAGGCCAAGTGATCAAACTTTTTCCCCTTCATGTCCTCTTTTCAAAATGCATTGCTGTTTTGTTAGCAGTCCTGGTTGGCTCTGCATGTCTTTTTAAATGCAAATTACTTGAGTGAGACATATTTAAAACCTAGTGGGATTGCAGAACTAACTACAGTCATTAGAGTTTCATGCATGATCCTACTCCCACAACTATGCTATGTCTCTTATTTACACTATCTGATCCCCTTGCTGGGCCACATACATCTCACATATATGTAGTCCTGCAGAGTCTTATGGTGGGAGTTACAAAGGCTGTTGCTAGAAGCCATAAAAGACACCGCATTAGTCATCTTTGCTTTCCTTAGAAGTAAACTTTTGTTTTCTTAACATTGGTTATTTTTTCCTTTTTTACAACCAATTTAAATATACCTTATTGTCTATGTCCAAATATGACACTGGATCTTTGTATAATGTGTAATTTTTAAAAATTGTTTTATTAGGGGTGCTCATACAACTCTTATCACAATCCATACATACATCAATTGTGTAAAGCACATTTGTACATTCTTTGCCCTCATCATTCTCAAAACATCCGCTCTCCACCCACCCTCTGGCATCAGCTCCTCATTTTTTCTCCTCCCTCTGTGCTCCCCCTCCCTCAGGAACCCTTGATAATGTACAAATTATCATTTTGTCGTATCTTGCACTGCCCAACGTCTCCCTTCACTCACTTTTCTGTTGTCCGTCCCCCAGGGAGGAGGTCACATGTAGATCCTTGTAATCACTTCCCCCTTTCCACCCCACCTTCCCTCCACCCTCCCAGTATCGCCACTCTCACCACTGGCCTTGAAGGGATCATCTGCCCTGGATTCCCTGTGTTTCCAGTTCCTATCTGTACCAGTGTACATCTTCTGGTCTAGCCAGGCTTAAAAGGTAGAATTAAATTGGGATCATGATAGTGGGGGAGGAGGAAGCATTTAGGAACTAGAGGAAAGTTGTGTTTCTTCGTTGTTACATCACACCCTGACTGGCTCGTCTCCTCCCTGAGACCCTTCTGTAAGGGGATGTCCAGTGGCCTACAAATGGGCTTTGGGTCTTTACCCCGCATTCTCCCCCTCATTCACAATGATATGATTTTTTGTTCTGATGATGCCTGATGACTGATACCTTCGGCACCTCGTGATCACACAGGTTGGTGGGCTTTGTTGCTTCTGAGCTAGATGGCCACTTGTTTACCTTCAAGCCTTTAAGACCCTATCTTTTGATAGCCGGGCACCATCAGCTTTCTTCACCACATTTGCTTATGCACCTGCTTTGTCTTCACTGATTGTGTCAGGAAGGTGAGCATCATAGAATGCCAATTTAATAGAACAAAGTATTCTTGCAATGAGGGAGGACTTGAGTGGAGGCCCGATGTCCTTCTGCTACGTTAATACTAAACCTATTAATGTATGCAAATGGATCTATTTCCCCATCCTCATATATAAATATATTTCTTTATACTTCAGTAAATGCCCTATAATGTATAAATTTTATCCATGTTTAAATATCTATTCACTTTCCCAATCTTTTTCAACTTAAACATTTGTAAGGAGCATTATCTTTATCTTTGGGATGCAAGCTTTGGATTAGTTCACATAGAAATACTTCCTTGTTGATACACAGGCTTCCTGTCCTTTGCACATTGGATAATAGTTTTTGAATACTGTGTTACCCTATTTGATTATACACCAGAAGGTTGGTTTTTCTGTCATGGTGAATTTTAAATAAGCATAATATAATTCTTAATAATTAAAAAAAATAATTTTTTGGTTTTAGGTATTCTGATATCCAGGCATCTTACTTAGTAGAAGAGAGATTTTCAATTCCATCTGAATCATCTCACAGTAGCCAGCCTGATACTGAACCCAAACAGAGGCTACATCTTAGCTCCCCTGATGATGAGTAAGTTCATATGTTAATCTTTATGCTAATACATGTCTCAATCAGTTTTATGGAAGATGAAAATATGATTGTGACTTAGTATATAAAAAATCTTTTACCATATTCATGATATTTTAATCACAAAGATTTTCTATATATTTTATTTGTTTTTTTTTGTTGGCAAGTATACACAGCAAAACTTAAACCTGTCCAACAATTTATACGTTTGCCATTTAGTGACATTGATTACGTTTTTAAAGTTATGCTGCCATTCTCACCATCTTTTTCTGGATTTTTCTGCCCTCAATGTAGTCTCAGCTCTCTACAGTATTTTCAATCTTTCAAAATACATATATTTTAATATGCCTATTGAAAAATGTAGCAAATTGCAAGGAAGACACTGAAGGTCTGTAATTTTACTAATTAGAGAGCATCCTTCTATTACATTTTCATTTGTAATCTTCCAGACTTCTTAATGCATATATATATGTGATGTGTTTTTTACAAAATTAAACTGTTTATAAACAAACATACTGTTATAAGAATTAGTGTTTTATGTTATCTCCTGTTTATAAACATACTGTTTATAAACATGAGTTTACTTTTGGCTTAAGCTATGGTAGTTCATGTATTACAGTTTCAATAGTGAGATGGAGAAACTGCAAAGTAGATTATAGTTTGAGCTGGAGATTTGTCTCAGGCACAAATATTCAGATTTAGAAAAATATGTTGTTGTTTTTTTAATCTATCCTGACATGTTTAAACTACTTATTATTTCATTCTGTGGTGAAATTTTCGTATACCTGATCATGAATGAGGATGGCCCTGAGGCACTAGACCTAACCATTAGTAAGTAGTTCCAGTGGTGTAGTAGGTTTTGCGTTGTGCTGCTGACTGTTTACAGTATTTAGAAATTTGGAACCATCAGCCACTCAGCAGGAGAAAGATAAGGCTTTCAATTTCCATAAAAATTTAGTCTCAGAAACCCATAGGGGCAGTTCTACTCTGTTCTGTAAGGTCATTGTAAGTTGGAATTCACTTGATAGGAAGCTAGTTTTGCTTAGGTTTCCAAAATGTTTGGTTTCGAATTAGTATGCAAAATGATGAATTAGTTTCTATTTGGGGATTTTTGCTGAGGTTCAGTACCCGTTCCACTTCTACTTGCTGGTGAAATGGCTGTAATGTGCTGATAAGGGTTCTGTTTCGATGGGAACTAGAAATCCAGGGAATCCAGGGCGGGTGATCCCTTCAGGACCAGTGGTGTGAGTGGCGATACTGGTAGGGTAGAGGGAGAGTGGGTTGGAAAGAGGGAACCGATTACAAGGAACTATATGTGACCTCCTCCCTGGGGGATGGACAACAGAAAAGTGGGTGAAGGGAGACGTCAGACAGGGCAAGATATGACAAAATAATAATTTATAAATTATCAAGGGCTCATGAGGGAGGGGGGAGCGGGGAGGGAGGGGGAAAATGAGGACCTGATGCCAGGGGCTTAAGTGGAGAGGAAATGTTTTTAGAATGATGAGGACAATGAATGTACAAATGCTTTACACAATTGATGTAAGTATGGATTGTGATAAGAGTTGTATGAGCCCCTAATAAAATCATTAAAAAAAAAGATTCTGTTTCATGCTTTGTTTTGCAGTCGTATGGGCAGAAAAATTCCTTGAAGGAAAAACATTTTCATCCATAGATGAGTAAAAATCAGCATAAGTAGAAGGACGGGTAGAGATAAGAACAGAGACAGGATGAAAAGAAAACTAGCACTTTTGATAATTTAGAACATTTCCTATTTTGACAAATATACCCATTTCCTTTAAGTCTTTCTTAGTTTTGAAAAGCCGTTTTTTTTTCCTCTAGACATGGTAGTTTTAAATTTACTTACCGTATGTACTCGTGTATAAGCCAAGTATGTCAGCCCATTTTTTATGCAGTTTTTGTGGTAAAATTAGGTGCCTTGGCTGATACTCGGGTCGGCTTATACTTGAGTATATATGGGTATTTAGGAAAGGACAAAATCTCATTCTCTCCCATTGTATAGAGTACAATGGGAGAGTCAGTTCCGACTCAGCAACCTCATGTACAGCAGAATGAAGCACTGCTTAGTCTTGTGTCCCCAGAATTACTGTTAGGTTTGAACCCATTGTTGTAGACTTTGTCATTCCATCTTGTTGAGTGTCTTCTTTTTTCTGATCCTGTACATTAGCAAGCATGATGTCCTTTTCCAGCCACTGGTTTCTCCTGATAAGGTGTCCAGAGTTCCTGAGATAAAAGTCTTGCCATCATAGCTTCGAAGGATTAGTCTAGCTGTACTTCCTCAAAGATAGGTTTGTTGTTCTTCTGGCAACCCATATTACTTTGATTATTTTCAACTACTGATCCTTTTTGTTTCCAACTTTCATATTCTGTCACCAGTAATTATCAATACAGTTTGATTGCACGTTTGATCAATTTCTGACTGAACAAGTTTGTAGAATGTTTCAATTTATCACTGGCTTCAATGGTTGGTTTTAAATTTGAATAATAGTTGTCTAAGCTGATCTTTTGTTATATATGCATGGATATTATCCTATCACATATAGTTTTGTTCTTCAGTGTACATCTTTAAATGATGATACATGCAACACTGCTTCTCTTGAATTTATCATTCCTGGCTTAGTACCCATTAAAAATGGCCAGTACCTATCCAGTTCAGCTCACTAATGCTGAGGACATAGATCTTTATTTGTCCTACTTCATATTTGAAGACTTAAAATTTTGCGTGGTTCTTACTTTGTACATTCCACGTTCTTGTTATTAATGGAAGTTTATGGCTCTTTCTTTTCATTTCAAATTGTGCCCTATCAGCAATGAAAGTCATGAAAACTTGGCTCCATCCAAGTGATTAAGGTTAACTTTACTCTGAGGAGGACACAGTTCTTTTCTTGTCATATTTTGAGTGCCTTCCAACTTCTCAGACTATGTCAAACAGTGTTTACTTCTATTCTTTAGGTATTTCAGTGGCTGATCCTTTAGAAGTAGACTGCCTAGTCTTTCCTTTTAGTCTTTTGTTAATCTGGAAGCCCTGTTGACACCTACCCACAATGCGTGACCCTTTTTCAAATACCCTGTTTGCCCTTTTGTGACTGACATTTCACTCAGCATGTTTTCAAATATTTGAAATACTAGTGGCATAGCTCCAACATCTGAGTAATATGCAAGCGATCACAGAATGACAGACTTTTGACAGTCTAGTTGGACAGAGTAGCAATGATAGACTTTTTTAATCTTGGTATACCATATGCCATTGTATTACAACTACTGATAGAATTCCTGAGACAGAAACTGCTTATTGGACTCGAAAGCTCGTTCTTTCTCCAACGGAGTGACTGGTGGTTTCAGACTATGGACCTTGCAGATTGCAGCACAACTCATAACCACTGCACCACCAGGGCTCCTATTATTTCTAAGTTAACTAATGTTATATCATAAAGGTGGCAATATGAACTCACATAGCAGTTACCGAGGAGAAAGACCTGACAGTTTGCTTCTCTAAAGATTGATAGCATGTAAAAAACCCTCTGGGGCAGTTCAGTTCTGTCAGATTGGGTTGTAATGAGTAAACAATTAACTAAATGGCACCTGATAGCAACACTTGAATGTAATAAAATTTAAAAAATCATTTTGTTGGGGGATCATACAACTCATCATAATCCATCCAACCATCCATCCAACCATTGTGTCAGGCACATTTGTACATTTATTGCCATCATTTTCAAAGCATTTTCTTTCTACTTGAACCCTTCGTATCAGCACCTCATTTTCCCCCTCCCTCCCTCC